TCCATCAGGCAACTGTTTGGGACTTGAGTGGCATGTGAGCTGTGCTAGTTGTACCTGGTTACTGTAGGCTGGCATCCTCGACATCTGTGTAGTGACTGTTCTCCTGGAGGGGAAAAGAAACAAACAAAAAAACCCAACAATGTTTCCTCCTCCTGCTGCAACATGATGAGTTCAAAGATCTGCTTGAATACTGGTATAGGGATGAGCTGTTCTAGTGAGCTCAGTTACATTGATGTCTAATGCCATGCTGTTTAGGATCAGCAAGAGTTAGGGCTCTTAGCATGGACAGTCATGAAAGAAAGCCAGAAGCAAACAGGGACAAACAAACGCCAATTTTATAAGGGCTTCCACAGGTAAAACTCCCATTGACTTTTCAGCTGGAGTTTGCCTGAGCAAAGGGCTATGAGAGAACCAAATAAAGACCTCAGAGTTTTGTCTAAACATATTTGCATTTAAGAGACTTGGCCTGGGTTCTTCTTTCAACCTTCATGTCTCTCCACTGAAGTCAACAGAGATGCATTAGAAGTGGTCTTGGCTCATTCTGTACACTAATGATGCTGCATCAATAAATAACAGGATTCTTTATTCAGGTGGATCACAGAGCTCTGTCTTAAAAGCAGACATGCTTTGAAGTATACATTATACATTCAACATTTTCCTGAAGAAAGAATTTGGAAGTGATGTCACTTCACTGAGACCAGACTGGCCAAGAAAACCTATTTTTCCATAATATATAATGTAGCATTAAATCCATTCAGCTTCTCACCCCAACAACAGAGCAGCATTCCAGCAAAACCCTAGTGCTCATTATCTGTGCATTTTCTCAAAATATCAGAGCAAAAATGTTTGTGCAATATTGTTGTTTCCTTCAGCAACACACAGGCTATAGCTGTCCTGCTTCCTGAGGCCTAAAACCTCATTAGTAGCATACATCATGTTTGCCACAGTGTTTGGGACCTATTGCCACGTCCAGATGAGTGTGGACATTTAGTTCCCCGGGGACAACTAATAGCAGCTACACACCCTCTAGTGCGCAACAGGTTACCCTGTGTGGGGTAAGGGAGGCTGGGGCCAGCAGCTGTGCTGGCCCCAGCAGCCTTACCTGGGGTCCTGGGGAAGCTGCAGCCTTATGCACCTGAAGCTGGGAGCTTGGCCAGCGACCAGAGTGTGGCTCTGGTTAGCCAGGCTCTGGTTTTGGGCAGCGCATGCTGCCTTCACGTGCACCACCCCTTTTTTTCCATGTGGGGTTTTTTGATCCCGGGATCTGCTGGGATCAACAAAACACTGTGCTACAAGATAGAAGCACAGGAAATGCCTGAGTGTGTGGTATGTGGTGCCACAGACAGGTCTGCAGTGCCACATACTACATGATTGCGCTCTTCTGGTCTATGAATCTCAGTTGCATTGCAAGATTTACTTATTCCTGAACTTACTAGCTACCCAGAGCCAGATCCAAATTATTCTAGGCAGTGTTTCAACTTGGTGTTGCAACACCTACAAATCAGTAGGGATGTGCAAAACGGGCCCTATTTGATTCAGATTTGGATTCACTGTCCCAATTTGATTCGACTGAATCCGAATCTGAAGATTCAATGTTGATTCAGAGAATCAGCAATTTGGCCATAGATACAGCTTTAAATGTTTTTTTCTACATACCTCAAGGTACCAGGTGCAGCTCGTGAATGCTAAGATGGTAGGATGGATGGAAAGTCCCACAAGGGCACGGGGGGCCCCCTGCATGTTCAGCGGTGGCCCTGATAGTGGACCAGAAGTACTGGATGTGGGACGCTCCATCTACCCCAGCATCTCAGCATTCACAAACCGCCTGGTACCTTGAGGCATGTAGAAAATACATATAAAGCTGTGTCTATGTCTGAATTTTTTAATCTCTCTGAATCTCTCCAATTAAATTCGGAGAGATGAAAGGGTCTCCTGATTCAATTCCTATTTGGAGAGTCAGTCGCTGAATCGAGCCAAATCTCCACTGAATCAAATCAGTAACTGAATCTTTGCACATCCTTACAAATTAGATACTTTATCCCAGGAGGATGATTCAAATGAAAAGAGTCAGGTACCTACTGGCCCTCTATGGTCAGTGGAGAAACCTAGACACTTAAATGCTGAACAAAGAAGTTCCTAGACTGACCTCATTGGAAATGCCAGGTACAATTATGGTGGGGTATCTCCTGGGAGGGGTGGAGAGGGGCTTGTGGTTTCCAGTCCCAGATGCCAAGATTATTTATGCATTTTTCATTAGACAATCCTTGGTTAAAAGACAGAAATAACCCTGGCAGCAGTGAGCAGAATCCTAGTCCCCCCCTCCTCTTGCCAGAGAGTGCAAGATTCATGGAGCTAGAAGGAAAGCAAGCAAGATGGCATCTGTTTTTGTAGTCCAACCTACTCGGTGGCCCAGCTTCAGCAAGAGGGACAAAGGTTATTCAATAGCCTGGTGATTATGGTACTCTCCTGGGATGTTGAAGATGTGTGTTTGAACCCTTGTGTTGCAGAGCACTTAGGTGCCCTGCGCCTGAAAGCAGAATCGGCTCAAGAGAGACCCCTAGCGGTGAGAAGGGGGAGGCGCAACTGCCAGTCACCAGGGCAGTACAGGTGCTGGTTGCTGGGGCAACCAGCGAAACCTGCTGACAGGAAGAGGCAGGGCTTAGCCCTTCTTAAGCCCAGGCAGGAGGACAGGAGGGCAGTTCCCCTTTGGCAGCCAAGGAGTGGGGAGCTCAGCCAGTGCAGAGAGAGAGGCGAAGTCTCTTAACTACATGAGCAGCCCCTGGTTTGCTGCCATGGGCTGGAGTATTTTCCCGGTAGGGATCGAATGTTGTTTTGACTGGACGGTTTAGTTTTACGTTATAGCTCAGGGGCTTTGTGCTTTGTGTTTACTGTTTGACCAGAGGACTGGGTGAGGCTATTAGGGGTTGGAAAAGGTCTCATAGGGACTCCACGGTAGCGTGGGGGTCCTGGTGCCAGAGAGGGTGCAGCATCTTGGGGGTGCATTTTGGCCCCAGCCCCCGACTGAGTGAGAGAGGGGGGTGGCGAGGAGCCCCGAGCAAGAGAGGAGAGGGCGGAATTACAGCAAGGCCCAGGTCAAGATCCTGGCGGTACCATCTGTGAGGCTTGGGCTGCAGTGTAGAGAAGGAAAGGAGCTGCAGATAGTGCCCCCTGGCACCGGGGCGTATAACGTGGGCAGCCTCCTGCTAATTACATCATTCAATCAATTAATATCAAGGCGTGGCAAACGAGTAAGCAGGCGGCTGGCCCATAACAGGAGGGCGGAGTCACCACTAGAACGACTCCGGCAGCAATCCCCTTGTCACAATGGTGCATTGGCTGGGAAAGGTTTATATGGTAGTAGGCATTATAAGACGCTGGTTTGCCGGTGTGAAGAAGAGAACCCTTGGGTCCACGTGGAGAGAAAAATGAGAACGGATGCTAACCCCTGGCCCAGAGTCGGGGAAACAAGTTTTGGGTCAACCACACCAAGCGGTACAAGGCCCATGGGATCAAACAGCAGGACAACAAACCCTGCAAGCCAGCGTGACTGGAAGCACCTGACCTGGCCCAATGGTGCACGTAGGAATGTGCGGCTACGTAGCCTGAGTTGGCCGTGAGGCAGAAGATGAGCTGCCCGCACCGGTGGTAGAAGTAACCATAGAGGGAAAAAGAGTAGTGGCGATGCTGGACTCAGGCTCAGTGCAGACAGTGGTGCGGAGTGACCTGTTACCGGCAAGGGAGATAAGAAGAGTGGATCGTGTGAGGGGGCAGTGTTGGTGTGGGGACCCCCTCGATTTTGGCAGGATGAGGGTCACCCTACAAGTAGGCAATCAGACCCGCCGGAAGCTAGTGGGGGTTGCAGAACGTTTACCCTACCCAGTGGTACTGGGCTGCGACTGGCCCGAGTTGTTAGAAGAAATAGTTGGCATGAGGCGTAAAGAGACCGTGGAGGGTTTCGTGGGTGAAACTGAGCAGCCTCCACCCCCGAAGAGGAAGCGGGACAGAGGGTGGATATCGCCCAGTTGGGGGAAGACGAACACTTTCAACTGGACCAAAGTCAAGAGACGGACTTTTGGTGGGTGCTGCAGGAACACCTCACTCGAAGAAACAATGAGGTATTGAGGCCAGAACTGATGAGAACAACCCCGAGGTTTGAGGTAAGGAACAGCCTCTTATACCAGACTGAGGAAGGGAAGCTAGAAGGAGAGGAGGTTGCTCAGCTGTTGGTGCCGTGGCGGTATCAACGGGCTTTGTTGAAGGTGGCTCATGAGCTCCCCATGGGTGGGCATCTAGGCTGGGACAAGACACAAGCACGCATTCAAGCAAGGTTTTATTGGCCAGGTATGGTGGGGGAAGTCACGAGATATTGCGCTTCGTGTCCCATCTGCCAAAAAGCAAACCCAAGGCTGCCTGCAAAAGCTCCTTTAGTTGCGATGCCTCTGGTAGAGGTTCCCTTTGAGAGGGTGGTGGTAGACATCGTCAGGCCACTCCCCTGAAGTAGCATGGGAAACCAGTACATATTAGTCTTACTGGATTATGCGACATGGTACCCGGAAGCTGTGCCAATGCGGACAGTGTCTGCGCCAAAGGTGGCAAATGAGCTCTTGTAGATATTCTCCTGGATAGGACTCCCTAAAGAACTACTACCTGATCAGAGAACGAATTTTACATCACGTGTGTTTGAGGCAGCGAGCAAAGCCTTGGGGATTAAACACCTGAAGACAGCCGTGTATCATCCCCAAATGGACGGACTTGTGGAATGTTTTAATCAGACATTGAAACAGATGCTAAAAAAGTTTGTGGTTGAGAGCCCTCAAAATTGGGACAGAATGATACCTCCTTTGTTGTTCGCAGTAAGAGAGGCACCCCAGGCCTCCACCGGGTTCTCACTGTTTGAATTACTATACGGCTGGCAACCAAGGGGAATCCTGGACCTGGTTAAAGAGAGGTGGGAAGAACAACAGAGTAACGACCAGAACATTATCCAATATATGATCCAACTTCGGGAATGCCTTGAAGCAGCTTGGAACATGGTCTTAGGAAACCTCAGAGAAGCCCAGCAATGGCAAGTAAGGCACTACAATCGAGGCGCCCGGGAAAGGA